TAAGTAAAAGTTAAAAAAAACTTCTAAAGATCATGCAATCAATCAATAGGCATTGCGTTGTACTTGGGCTTATAGCTTTTCATAATCTCGCTGAATTTCCTACATCTTTCGGATCAACACTTTCCTCCTCCTCCTACCCCCCCCCCAACCCTTGCAACCTTCATTGCTGTTCTTCTTTGAAGGGTTAATGAATTGATCGAGAGAAGAAAGTGTTTGAAAAGGACTAGAACTCATATGTTGACTATTGTACTTTGCAGCTTAATGGCTTATTGTGGAACCGGTATGTGACCGGAAATCCGGCAAATACACAGTTGTTCTTCCTCAGACTTCTTCAAGTTTTGAGATGATCATGTGACAAGAACTTTCTTCAATTTCCTATCATTTTTCCCTTTGCGAAAACCTAAGCACACCCCTGTGCGCAACGCCTCTTAACTCTGAATCAGTATCTGGTTTCTTCAAGTGTCATCAGGTGCCAGCCTAAAAGTGCAGCCGCTGTGCTTATTTTCAATCACTTTGGAATGCGCCATGCATCCAGCAGCTGTGCCTAGTCGCCTTAACATCTGTGTGGCTGAGTGGCTAATCGATCTTTGCCTCCACGTATTTATTCTTTTGCTGTTTGTCACTTCATCTTGGCACTAAGTAGCAGCGCTAGGTAGAAAGGGTTCTTATAGGAATGAAACACCTGATTGAATCTCTCAATCATAAGCGAATGCGTCGCCTCCGATATTCCCCTTTCATCAAAAATTATTTGTAAGTTTCTATAAATGTATGTGGGAAATATGGAGATTGACAGGGCTGTAAATATTATATAAAGCAATAAGCAGCATATAAATAGCAATATTTCTGTCGCTTTTACTGCCTGCAAAACACGCCGACTTTTTGTTATGACTGTGATGGTATCGCTTTTTTCGAACTAGTTCCGCTACAGTGAAATCGCCTCTTACTTAAGGGTAAATCGCTATAAAATGCAAATCCCGTGTCACAATAGTTGTTGATCAAAATTCCTTGATAGGTATGCACTTGTTCTGGTTTTCTGGGTGACTCGTCTCCTTCACAGAGGCACCATTTTACACCTCATTGTATGTTCACATTTCATCGGCATCAACTGGTCGCCATCGCCGCCTTTAGTGCGAAGGTTAGAGGGTCCAGAAGGGTCCAACATTTCTTGGAGCGTTTTTGGGGTTACTGGATAGGGGTGGTGGTCCCGTACCTGACATTGACGGCACTCGTGACGTAGAGTTGTCATTTCAGGTATTGTAATGACCAAGACTCAATCGGAAGAAACGATTGCTCTTTCAAAGTCCCTGTTATCGTTACATACGAAGCCAAAGGTTTCCAGGTGATTGCGCGTTTAGAAACGGCTGTTTTCAACAATTTTCCGGATGTTGTGATGCCCATGTTGAATATTTTCTCGCGCTGTGGCCTTTCCGCTGACGTGTTCAGCTCATCGAAGCGGAATGTTTCCGGCAAATATAGAAAACAGCTTAAATTGAATTTATTTCATATAATCCACTCCGTCATGCGGTTGTTTCTTTGTCACCTAGGTTGTACTAGAGCTGTAAGTAAAATACTAGGCTCTTCAACCTGATACCAGTAATTTGTTAAGTAAATTGAGGCCATAAATTCTCTAGGTCATATTAATTTATTTGAATTTTTATGACCACTGAATACCCTCTGTTTCCGAGAACCAGGTGTTCGTCGAGTGCAAACCACACAACACAAGTGACGACAGGTGTCTACAAAATGAAAATGTTTCTTGATAGATTAGAGTGTGCACTTCAATATAGTTAGGTGCATTCGATTTGAATCAAGCAAATTGTAAATATTCAGCTTTAAATGGGGGGGAGGGGGAAGTGACCCTTTTTTGTCCTTCCCCTATATAGCGATCCCAATAATTATTGATGTGGAAATCAATCGGAGGGGGGGGGGGGGATTGTTTTTCTGAAGAGGGGCGTGATTTTGAACCTAGTGATCTGATTATTCCTAACGAGCCCCGTGCTAGTGCTCATTTGCCGTTTCTTCCTCCTTCCTAATTCAGGAAGCTCAAATTTATAGAATTCTCAAGCCTGTTACTAGAGCCTGCCTAGTGAATTATCCCTGCAGGGAGGATATATGGACCATGGACTGTAACTGATTACCTATTTCCGAGTCAAGATATCCTTTCGCTAGAAAAATATTGGCCCGAATGATTTGTATGCTGCCGTTTGCCTTTGTGAAGCTATTGTAGCGTAACCTCTATTTGAATCACATGCTTGCCATAGGATTGTTGCACTAAATACTGAATTGTACATTAGTGTGACCAATGCCTCGTACAAATTGTATCCCTCCAGTTAGTTTTCTTATTAAAGGGATTAAGTAGGAATAGGATGCGCGGCGCATCCCAGAGTGAGTAAGTGTCAAACGACTAGCAATCACTGTGCGGTTCTGCTTATCGTTGAGCTTTATTTCAAAATTGTTACCAAAAATGTACCCGATTCATTTACTTTAGATAACTATTAATTTCCACAGGTAAAGACATTCGGTATGTAGAGTCGTCAATATGGCAAAGCGTAACAAGAACTGTCGTTTCTGAAATTGCCTTCTTAATTCAAATAAATCGCTTAAGTTTCTCCATATTCATCCACAACAGTGAGGCAAAAGCTGTTTCTGTTCATGCCACGTCAAGGTTTTCTAGGTCTTTTAGTCCATCCTATCACCATGAATAGGAACGAGGTGCTGTTCCTAAAGGCTCAAGCGGATCTGTATATCAGTTATAATATGAGGCCTTCTAAACCCCTCCCAACTCTCTTATGAATCATTTCCAGAGCCTATATGTGTGTCTGCTATTCATTCAGTTCATGCGTTTCTTCCCCTCAAATCTGCCTCCCGTTTTTTTTGTCTAAATCAGCTTTTTTCTAAGGAGGATCACTTCGTCCTCCTCCATCCTTCTCATCTTTCTCACAGCGATCGTTAACGAGTTATGCTACGCTACCTGAATGTCCCTTCTTTTAGTTAGGACTATTCTACCAGTATTTCATCGAATACGATACCAGAGCGTAGATAGAATGCGCTCAAAGCGAACATTTATCGAAGAGTTCGCATCACGTGAAGATCCATCGGTATTCATTCGAAATCTCGTACTTCGACCCGGACGAACTCCTACCGCTGATGAGATCATCAAACGAGGTCTTTTAGGATATACTAAGCGAAAGGTTGGTGTTTATCGAGAAGTTATCGATTTGATCGGACAATAGGAAAAGTTAATCTAATTCAAAGATCGCCAGTACTAGTGTAATTGATTTGAAGCGAGCGTGGGAAACCGGGGTAGGTAAAGTTTCAAAAATAAGTGCGAGGTTGATACGTTGATGGGTGGAAATCGATCCTATGAGGCCATGTCAGTTAAGGGTTTGAAAACAAGATTCTTGCCTTCTAAATCCATAAAAATGGGTGTTGTTTTCAGGTTTCCAGTGAGAAATTCCTTCTTCCACCGGTACGGCCGACAGACGCCAATAAAAAGTGCCTTATCATCGACCTCGATGAGACGCTGGTCCATTCCTTTCAAGGTATGCCAAATCTCCCTCGGTGTCTTCGAAAAATCTACTGCATAAACTTTTTTTAAAGCAACTTCGTACCTACAATACTTATCCTACTATATATAATCGGCTAAGCGGTTGTGTGTGTGTGTGTGTGTGTGTGTGTCTGACCGGAAATTCATAACTTCGTTCCCTTTGACCCAGAGCGCTCAAACTTCTAGGGTATATAGGGGGTCGGGCGTGAACACTGATGATGGGTGGCGGAAGTGATAAGTACTGATAGAAGCTGATAACGGGCGTCAGAATGCCGATGTCACCAACTTCCTTACGCCGTTCGCGTTGGCAGTGGATTGCTAGCACTCATGAATATTGTGTAGGGTAGGACTGGGACCCAAATGGTGAGCGAAGGAAAGTGATAGCAAATGATAAGGGCTGATAAAGGGCATCGGAATGCTAACGTCGTCAGTTTCGCAACGCCCTTTGCGTTGATCCTAAGATGTTCGCACTCATGAATATTATGTGGGTGAGGCAGGGACCAAAAGGGTGATTGGAAGAAGGTGGTAGCAACTGATTAGAACTGATAAGGGGCGTCAAAGTGTGGATACTACCAGTTTCGTTGCGGCTTTCGCGGTGACATTGGAACCTTGGCTGTCACATGTGGTATAGGGGATGGGACGGGAACACGGATAGTGGGTGATCAAAAGCGATAACAACCGATAACGGTTGATAAAGAAGTTAGGATTTTGAGTGCCGCTGATTTCGTTGTAGCCTTCGTGGTGACAGTAAATATTAGCTCCTACACGCTACAAGATGGGACGGAGATACGGTGAATGTGGGTGACAGAAAGGGGTATGAAAGGCAGGTGCACTAATAAAAATAGCGACAATTGAGTGTGCACTCGGTTAAACTTAACCAGATTCCTAGCACGGGAATATGTTCCATTTCCACCCTTTCATCTAAAAAAGCAAAGGAAGTTGAGCTGCTCCACTATCTGGACTTGGACTAATAGCGAATAAAATCATATTTCCAATTTCCATCATCGATTGATGCTGATTGATTGGTTATATTCCACTTACACACCGATTCTTCAATTGTGGGAATTCTATAAACCGCTAAATCGCCCGAGCTCGATATCAATGCTAAATGTTTACGAAGTCATGATAAGTACCATTCTCATTCCGCGACAATCTTCAGCGAAACTGGACAACCTTTAAACATCATGTGACACATCTTCCAAAACATCTTACTGTTAGTTTCTCAGTCACGTGACCTAATATTCTGCAAGTTGTCCAGTTTCACTAAAGCCCACCATTTGATGCGCGCGGTTGCGTGCGGAGCTAAACTGGTTAATTAATAAGCTTCTAAGTGAAACTAGCCCAGTTCACAGCTTAACAGCGCGTTTTTTTCAGCCGGTCAAGAATCCGGACTTCGTGATTCCGGTTGAGATCGACGGCATCGTGCATCAGGTGTACGTGCTGAAACGACCATATGTGGACGAGTTTCTCGCTCGGATCGGCGATCGATACGAGTGTGTGCTGTTCACGGCCAGTCTTTGCCAAGGTAAGCAGAACCCGTTTTGGGGATCAGCTTTCAGACAGCAACAGCGTTCATAATTGCCAACTGAAGCTTCTTTATTAGAAATGTACACGAGGGCTCAACGCACACTGCGGAACTGTTTGCCTTCGCTTACTGTAGGTCAAGGTCTTTGAAAATGAAGCCCCTTATGTCAGCGGGTGTTCGAGTTGTAAAGGTTGGGCACTTGCTAATGACCTTAAGAATGGTCATGGTTTAATTATAGTAGATTTAAAAACAGAGACATTATCTCGCAGGTTCTCATTGTAGTTGTTTAGGCTGTATGTCGGTTTCGGGTTACAAAACATCGGAGCAACAACCTCACAATCAGATGAGGTTGTGTGGATCAATCCATTGTGACTAGGATAGTGTACCCATCTAGTATCAATGATGTGCGTTGTTCGTTGCCTCGAAAAGACGATAATGACGACGTTAGTGCTCAGTAGAGTGTGAGCTAATTGACGGTAATGTGGCTAATTAGCGGAGTACTCGCCCAGACCCGTGACGCGGAACGGGATTAATATAACGTAGGCGGCTAGTTCATTGCGCAGCGGATTGGTGCCCATAGAAACAAGAAGCTCGAGCAGTCGTCGGAATCCCACTCTCAGTTCATTGAGGGGGGAGGGAGAGGATCCATGTGGAAGGGTTTTATCGGCGATCAGCTTTGTTTCTTTCTTTGTTTTCGGTCAACTCGCCATCCACAATTTCATTAGCGACCGCGGTTACCCCGCTAATTTGTTCTGGGGTTGATTTTTTAATCTCCCTACATGAACAAACTCTTTTGCGATTCGTTTCGTTTTCTACGTTTAGCGCAACTTCATGAAAGATGTAGAGGAAGATAGATAAATATCCGCGTAGAATAAAAGAGGACTCTTCCCTCCCCCCCCCCCCTCATCTCGTTCGAACTTCCTCAGTACACCCCGAAAATGATGATTTCTGCCAGGATTTTCTGAGCTGTGTTTTTGAACGATCTCTGATCCAAAGTGAATACTGTAATAGGTGGTAAAAATCAATTACTCAAATTTTTCAGTACGCCGATCCGGTCGCTGATCTTCTCGACAAGCGCGGAGTGTTTCGATCTCGGTTGTTCAGAGAGGCGTGCGTCTATCACAAGGGAAACTACGTTAAGGTAAACTTGATATTACACAGTCTGATTTCTTAATATGATCCCTTAATGGAATTATTTAGGATTTGGCGAGGCTCGGTAGGGATTTGAGTAAAGTTCTGATAATTGACAACTCGCCAGCTAGTTATTCATTTCATCCGGAAAATGCGGTGGGTCGAAGTTTTCCCACTTTTTATTCCTCACAAAAAGTCTGAGAAAATGTTTCATAAAATGAAGTTCCATTTCCAGATTCCGGTCCCGACGTGGTGGGACGATCCGTCGGATGTCGAACTGCTCGACATATTGCCGCTTTTAGAACGTCTCGAGAAAGCCGAATCAATCTACGAAGTACTGAAACACGAGGACGCACCGTCAGAGCCGTTGTTAGAGCGAGCGCAATGACGACGTCGTCCACTGTGAATTTCTCTAGTCTCGATGACGTCTCTGCCTCCTCCACTCTGTGATCTATCGCTCTACACCAATCTCTCTTCTTCTCCAGTCTCCTTCCGTTTTACACGGTTGAATACGGCTTCAACCAAACCTCTCAATTTCCTCCTCAACAGAGCGATCGCCTTCTATGTTGCCTTTGCTAGCCGCGGACCTGAAGCCAGAACTGACGATAATCGCCTTCAGAATTCGGATCGCCTTCGAAATGATCGTCGGTGGGACCTGCGGCATGCGCATCTGTTCGCATTCGATGCGTTATACGTGTTGTATATAGCCCAGATACAGATTCAGAGTTATCACATATATGTATATGTATATCATAGTTATCGATTAGTTCGATTCTGTGACTGTGATTCAGTCGTTTGTTAATCAAAATACATTGTTTAGTGCCTTGTCAAAAGATTCAAATAATCAAAGATATATATCATGTTCAATTTTCTCGCACGATTTTTAATACCACATTATTATATACCATTCACCCAAATTATTCACCTTGAATTTTCCACCATTTTCCTTGAATCTTTCCCATTTTTTCTATACACATTGTTGTCAAATCCTCGAATCCCGATGACACTAGGAGTCTTATAACAAGGTGTGCGTATACCGGTGTCAAAATAATGCGTACTTGTTGTTGATGTGTGTCTGAATGAAATATGAACACTGTGGAGCTGTCATAAAAACGAGCATGCCGGGAGGGTGGCGTATTCTTTTCGGAAGTGCTCCGTTCTTAACGCGTTAACGCCATCGCACGTTTTGGGTTTTTGCACCGCGTGGGACCAGAGCGATTTTGCGAGCGTCGCCGCAGCACACCAAATCCGTGGATTTTGAAGCTGTTGATACGGAATTACTGTGAAAAGCTCTGTGCAAAAACGAAAAATATTTTGACTTTTCTTTCGCGTAAGCCAATTACCAAAGCCTTCCATCCCTCCGGGGTCGGTTAATTGGTACCAGACTTGTCTGGGAGGATAAAAACACTGACTTGTACATCGGCTGGCCCCCGCAAGTCATTGTATAGGCCACATCGCATTCAAACGCCACTACGAATGTACAAATGGAAGTAGAATGCGTGCCGCATCCCAAAAAGGGATTGATCAACGGCAAATGCTTTATCCTTTTTTTATATGTGGTTTTAATGTATGCTAATGTATGACCTATAGAATGAGCACAAAGACCTTAAGAATAAGTCGCACAAGCGCAAGAAAAGGGATGGACTTGGGTGGGACGCGTTACCGCGTCACAATGTCCCACGAGGTGCGCAAAGCGGGACGCGGCCGATGTCAGACTTTGCGATTCGCGCGATTCGCGCGTCGCGTTGCGGTACCAGCCAATTGAGTGATTCACTGGCCGTGACGCGACCGCAGACGCTAGCGAATCGCGCGATTTGCAAAGTCTGACATCGGCCTTACCACGTCACGCTGTCGTCAACGTGTTTAATCGTGAAACCATTTGCAGTTATTCGACTCAGGATTCGTCCAACGAGAAACGGGCAATTGATCAGTCCGGCATTGCAATGAGGTGTAGCTCGACGCTTTGCGACATTTAGCTGAAATCCGTTTTCAATATCTGCGGAACGAAACTATGAAAAAAGTTACGAAGGATTCTTCTCATCTCACAATGGTCTTCTCCCTGTGGCGCCCTCTGAATCAGGATCAAGCGAGGCGACGGGGAAATTTTGAAATGCGCCCCCCCCCTCCCTCAACCCGGAGGCCAGGGTCCTTGAAGCGGCTCTAATCACAGGGCGAGTTTAGGGGTATTGTTCTAGCTTTGCCAAAAACCTTTCACGTGGAAAAAAGAAACCGGCTACTCACTCCATGCATAAAGTCGTTCAAACAGCAGCGAATAAAAACTAAAGAAAAATCACCTAACACATCGTTACAAATCACATTACGTCTGCAGTGCTACCGAAAATGGACAAAAGATACTATAATAATAAGCTAGCATACTATTGGCAGCGCTATTTTCCCTTATGTTATCTTTAAGGCTTACCATGTCTTTGCTTCCCTGGGATGCCTTTTTGTCAGTCTCATATCCATCTTCAATCCATCCCACTTTTTGGTGGCAGAAGTTATGAACGTTTAAAGGAAGCGATTACGATAAGGAATTTTCGCATCGGGGGAGAAGCCTGTGCCACACGGAGCAATTACTTGGCTGCCAAGGGAAGCGATATGTGTGGCGCTTCCACGGCGAAAAGTGCTGTGGTTGCTGAGCAGGACCTCCGCAGCACCCGATGAATTGGGTGAGCTGTCTGCTGTTGGTTTTTCATTTTAGGGGATCGTTTCCCTTTTATCGGCTGTATCTTCAAACTTGCCCATGTAATGCCTTATCAATCAAAACGTTATGCTTGTTGGCATTTGGGATTAACTCGTCCGAACAACGTTCTTCTATATGTCGCTCATCCATGGTCGAAAATGAAAGGAGCAATTAAAGGGGCACTATTTTGAGTATTTTTGACGGATTCTTTGCTTTTTTTTTCGCCATTGGCTGTACTATTGAGACCCTCGCAGCCCCCCCCAAACCCCTTCGCTGCCTTTAACCTGTGTCGATTGATCTCAGGCATTGACCTTGCAGCAGCTTATCTGTTATTGAAGTTCGAACACATATTCAAATGACTACACTCCAAAATGGATAGATTTTCATTCCGAACACAGAATTGGGAGTTTTGTAGAGAGCTATTTCTATTCAGTGTAGAAATTACGAAAGCTAACAAGAAATAAAAAATTGTAGAATGATTAACGAGGAAAATTCATGACGAGCACGAGTTTTTACACTTTCCGAAGCATAACTTGCTTCATTTTCGTCAAATCTGAAAAGTTAATATGGCAGACAAAACTAGAAGATTTTCTTTATCAAAAGGTTACTAATTCAGCTCCATAGGTCCAGTATTTCAAAAACGGCCACGTCGAGGATTTTTGCCCGAGTATCGCCGAAAGGTATTGCATTGCATGGTATCGCTGCATTGGTTTTCTACCAACTACTATATGTTGGGGGGATTATGTCCAAAAGTAGAAGCACGTTCGAAATCCAAGTGCATCTCTTTTCAACCATTGTCTTTTGCTCGAGTCATGCTCACTTTTAGTAAACCAGTTGGCGCCGCACGCATTGCGCGCGCAACACAGATCTGTGGCGAATTTTGATGGTGCGACGAAAAATTTCAAATTTGGCTTGATACAATACGAATATCTGAATTCTCCGCTAAATTCTATGCGCTCTTTCTTCGTCAACCATTATCCTATTTTTCTCGGTCCTCGGCCCGGACAATAAATCTCGTGGCGAACTCCGTCTACTTCGGTGCGTGCCCTGCCGACCAATAGCATTTGGCTCCCTTCTTTTCGCCGACCTCTACCCCCTTTTTCACCGGTCTCTGGGACCTCTTGGAACCAAATTACGACACTTTTGGCAAACTCCGCCCACTTAGGTGCGTGCTCTACCCACTAATAGCATTTGACCTCCTTTCCTTCGCCGACCTCTACTCCCTTTTTCCCAGCCTCCTGGACTTCTTGGAGCCGAGTTATGAATTTTCGTCGCAAACTCCGCCCACTTTGGTCAAGCCCCGCCCACCATTGACAGCTGGCCTCCACTCCTCCACCCACCTCCATCCACCTTTTTCCCAGCCTCCGGGACTTCTTGGAGCCGAGTTTTATATTTTCGTCGCAAACTCCGCCCACTTTGGTCAGGCCCCGCCCACCAATGACAGCTGGCCTCCACTCCTCCACCCACCTCCATCCACCTTTTTCCCGGCCTCCGGGACTTCTTGGAGCCGAGTTTTATATTTTCGTCGCAAACTCCGCCCACTTTGGTCAAGCCCCGCCCACCGATGACAGCTGGCCTTTCCTCCACCCACCTCCATCCACCTTTTTCCCGGCCTCCGGGACTTCTTGGAGCCGAGTTATGAATTTTCGTCGCAAACTCCGCCCACTTTGGTCAAGGCCCCGCCCAATGACAGTTAACCTCCACTCCTCCACCCACCTCTATCCACCTTTTCCCCAGCCTCCGGAGCTTCATGGAGCCGAGTTATGAATTTTCGTCGCAAACTCCGCCCACTTTGGTCAAGCCCCGCCCACCGATGACAGCTGGCCTCCACTCCTCCCCCACCTCCATCCACCTTTTCCCGGCCTCCGGGACTTCTTGGAGCCGAGTTTTATATTTTCGTCGCAAACTCCGCCCACTTTGGTCAGGCCCCGCCCACCAATGACAATTAACCTCCACTCCTCCACCCACCTCTATCCACCTTTTCCCCAGCCTCCGGAGCTTCATGGAGCCGAGTTATAAATTTTCGTCGCAAACTCCGCCCACTTTGGTCAAGCCCCGCCCACCGATGACAGCTGGCCTCCACTCCCCCACCCACCTCCATCCACCTTTTCCCCAGCCTCCGGAGCTTCATGGAGCCGAGTTATAAATTTTCGTCGCAAACTCCGCCCACTTTGGTCAAGCCCCGCCCACCATTGATAGCTGGCCTCCACTCCTCCATACACCTCTATCCACCTTTTTCCGGCTCTTTAGGACTTCCCCGACCCGAATTATGAGGGCTTGTAGAAAATGCTGTACACTTCAGAGCGCGCCCCGCCCATTCTGGGCAGGCCTCCGCCCACGTCATGTATGCGGGAAACACCTTAGACATTGCTCCCTTACACCGAATTGTTTTCTGCTCTGTAGGCTTTCTCCCAACCGAGTTATGAAATTTTTCATAAAGCACTGCTTTTTTAGAGAACGCCCCGCCCACCGGGGGTGGGTCTCCCTAATTCGATGTTACTTACCAATGCACACCTTAGCCCACTTTTTGGCCCAGTTTCGAGGTCGTTTTTTTTCACTGAAATCGAAATCTTGGTCTTTGGTACAATTCATTTCGACGCACGCCACGCCCTCTGTGGGCGGGGCTCCGCCTTAGCTGATGTGTGTTTTGTATTACGTGAGAGACCTTGCCCACCCACACTTGACCCGGTCCCTCCAGGTGGATC